CAGTGGAAGTGTGGTCGACTGATAAACTGTGAATTGTGGCCTTGGTTTTAGAGAGTAATGTAATAGATGACGAGAAAGCCTCTAAAAACTAGAAATTGAGTTTGGTGTATCTTACACGATTTTCAATAGGGGGTTTTGGATACCTGTATTTGATAAATTTGCATTGATTCATCAATATGCATATCAAGATCCGTTTCTTGAGGAATTATTTCTACCACAAATAATTATTGAGCCAACAAAGAAAAAGGTTGAAGAAGGTAGTTTTGACGTTGAATTCATCTTAACACACTTTAAAACTCAAAAACTCAAGGGTGAGTTTTCTCCAACTAGGGGAGAATGATGGAGGGCAAAGTATTTCTTATTTTTAATTTTTATTCAATTTCGAAGGATCTATATTATAGTTTTAGTTTTCAGGTTTATTTCTAGGGCTTTTTTAGTTTTTTTAGGGATTCTAGGATTTTATATTTTTTATTTACAAGTATTGTTCATGGGGACAAAATTATCATTACAAATTGTTTTGTTTAAGTTAGGTTTTTTTTGGGTCATTTAATTATTATGTGGACATTGAATGTCTTTGGATATTAGATTATAATATATAAGAGGTGTGTGGGTCCTTGAGGGGGTCATTCCACATGATTTGTAGAAATTGGAAGAGAGAAAAGCTTAGGCTTTTGGAACCCTAGCTTGGTCATGGAGAAGAAACCTTGGGTTTCTTGGAATTATGCTTGTGTTTGGCTTTGTTTCTTTCTGATTTTACTGATTCCCAAGATTCTTTGCATCACAATCCCAATGTCTCTTGATCCTGGAATTTCCCTGTAGCTCTTGTCATTTTTATTTTGGGATTAATCCCATAATTTTCACCCTTTACTTCATTATTTTGTTGAGACTTTCTTGAGATGTTAAAAAATGACTTCGATTGCTCCATTTTTTCTTCTCAAGCCTCCCTTCATTCCAGCATTTTTAAATGGTCTTCATTAATTTCCAAATTTTTTTCTTTCCCCTTGAATTTTTCTTTTTCTTCCTGTTGCTTTGTTTCTGCCAATAATTCAAGTTTGTTCTTCGTCTCTTGGCTGACTTTCTACAGTAGAGATATGCTTTTTAGCAACTGAAGTCCAATGCAACAAATAGTTTAGCCGCCTGCTGTCATCACTTTGGCCTTTCAGGGAATTAATGTTATAGGAGTAAATAACTTACGTCAGCTCTTAATGTGGGTGTTCTTCCAGCTAATCAGGAGTAGCTGTTGAGTGGGCCATTTTTTATGGCCATTCTCCGTCTACTCCCATATTCTTTTCATCACCTTGATTCCCTTTCAAAGTTCTGAACATTTTTGCCTAAGCAGAATTTCTATATGGAGAATCAGGAATTTTTACTGTAGGAAGCTCTAATTGAGTGTAACAAAATAGGTGGGAGAGAAGAAGGTGATGAATAATGATTGATTGGGTGGAGGAATTAAAGAAATTATAGAATAGCGAATACTGAAAGAGGTGGTTATGTGGGATTCAAGGCTATAAAATCCAAATGTTTTGTCTTATCTTAATTATTGAATCTGAATTCCACTTACAAGTGCCACAATACTCTGCTGTAAAAGAAAATTAAAACCCTAAATACAATCTAACCTTTCCTTTTATTGCCAAAATAAATAGATGCAATTTAGGAATAAAAATCTAACTTCGACTATCTATTTGAGTACAAATAATGTTTTCAAAAAATCGAAGTACATATAGGCCTATGATTGAAAAACAAAAATAAACAGCCTGAAGACTTACTTGATTGTGCCTAGGGTCACCCTCACAGGACTTAGTATACCCCACAATTGATTTTCTGACCGATGACGCACTTCAATCCTATTGATCTTGCTGAATTTTCAGAGCTGGGAAACTTCCTTAGGTATTACCTCTATGACTAGGGTTTTAGCGAGCATAGAAACACTATTAGGGCATGCCTAAAAAAGACACCTCCCTTTTTGGTCTACAAGTCCCTAATTAGGTTTAGGTGTGCTGCCCTCTTTAATTTGTCTATGGGTGGCGTGCCATTAATTGTAAGAGAGAGGAGGGATGGGATGGGCACTATAGAGATGAGAGAGAAGAAAAGAACTAGGGTTGGAGGAAAAAGAATTAGGAAGAGGCTACAAAAAAAATTGTGTAATAGAGGGGGTACACCTCCTTATGTAGACCTCAATACCACCCCTAGGTATGCCTATCCAGTCATTCACCTTGACCAATTGGAATTAAGAAATCTGTGAGGTGAGAGAATAAGTGAGAACCATCCATCCCATAAATCAACCATCATGATTTTGGGAGGCATAACAGGAACTTTATCCCTTTAATATTTGACTTATATCCACTTCTAGTTTAGTTAGAATCATACCAATTTAAAAAACCTTCTAGAACTTCCTAATTTATCTCTAATTATAGGAAGTCAAAATAATATTTCTTGGTTACAACTAACTCCCACGAAAAATAGGCACAAAATCTTTTCTTTTCTTTTTAAGATTATCTAACTAACCATGCTTAAACTAATTTTAATTAATACAAGAACTTAAAAAATAAAGAAGGGGGCCATGCCACCCGTAAGGGTGGCATGTTGCCCCTATGGGCCCCACGCCCCACCCATGGGATATGGCACACATGTGGGGCTGGATCCAAGAGCCCCACATGTACCCTTCCTTGTTAATAATTTCGAAAATACCCCTTTTCAAAGAAATTACAGCATAAACAATTTCACAAATTCTAAAAATTTCTAAAATTCAAAAAAATATTTCTAAAGTAAAAAATAAAACATCTAGAAGTGGACTGGAACCATTGGGTCAAAACCAAGTAACTATAAGGGCACTCTAGCCAACCCTGTGATCATGATCTGCAACTGTCTACTTAAACCAACCCCATGAAACCCATGACCTAAAGTCTCATGTAGGGCTTCATGATCGGCTTGTCAAAGCTAACCAATAAGCTGTGGAACTACAATCTTGGAACACATATCACTATAGTGCAAGGGAGACTCTCTATACACTTGTGCATATATCACATTTCAAGGTTGCTTCTTGGTAATGTGGCTGTCATATATATATATATATCTATATATATTCTGCGGAAGTTTTTTTGCAGATTTAGCCCTTGCTCTCATAGGCCTACATTTGCACGTAGGAGACCACACCGCTCTTTTGGCCTACAAACTATCCCTGGACATCTCTCTAACCTAAACAAGAGATGACCCTTTGTAAACCCTTTTCGGTAGTGCGACATGCCCAGTGGAAGGTTTTTGGGCTTGACCAAGGCCATAGAGCACCCTTGGTCAATGAAAAAATACACACTTCCCTGAAGTGTATAATCTACTAGAAATGTCTTTTACATGCTCTCACAGCCTTTAAAGGCCACAAACTCCAATACCTCTAAAGCTCCATAATAAATCAGAGCTATTTTAAAGAATGAAGAAATGTAAGAAGTATCGAAGATGATTGCAACAGAGGAAGAAGTAGAAGATGCCTTTGAAGAAGGGAATATGTACATTATGGAAAGTGAATAATTAATTCCTTGTTCTTTTATAAAGTAGTTTTTAATAAGAGGAACTTTTTTATAAAATAGCTCTAATCTATAGAAGGATATTCTTTTGACTTTTTGAAAAGCAACTTTACAGAAAGAGATTTCTTTTACTTTTAAAAAGTAGCTTTATTTAACGATGAGATGACTTAACTTTTGCGAAAGTTATTGGCCCTTTTTTCTTTGTATGAAAATGTTACTTGTTCCATTGACTGAAGCAAAAGTTTAAATGTTTAATTTTTGGGCAATTGCTTTTGTGGGAGTTTACTCTGAGTGTCGTAAGAGAAATCGTCCAAAGATTTGTTCTAGTACGTTAATCAAGATATCAGTCAAGTCTTTCATAGGATCTATCTTCTCTGTTGTTAGCCCACTTGAGAAGAAACAACTAGGTGGTCTCAGACCGTCAGTCTTGATACGCCTTTTCCAGCATACTGGTTAATATTCTTTCTCGTCTTTTTTGTCAGTGAGCCATTTAGGGAGTTGGGTATCTGGTGCAACTCCTAGCTAGGAGATCTGAAACCTTCAATCTCCTTCCCTTGTCTACCCTTTACCTACCAAGGGTTCTTTCTCTCTCTTTATAAAAAAACAAAAAAAATCCTTTGTTATCCTTTAGTTTTTCAGTTATATCTCTTAGTGTGTCTTTTGTCTTCCGTTGTCTGAGTTTTTCCTTTTATATCAAAAAGTACCATACACTGAGTCGCTTTTGTTTCTCTATGTTTTCATATTATACCTTTATATCAAAAACCTCAAAAAGAGTTCTCTCCTCTCTTGATCCACCGCTGCCTCTCTCCTATCACTCGGTATTGCTATTGTTGTTGTGGTTGTTATTATTGAAATTATTGTTATTGTTATTATTGTCATGTTCATGATCGTCATCGTTATCATTGTCATCATCATAATCATCATCATCATTATTGTTATTATTATTATTTTATTGTTATTGACAAAGTATATCATAATCCAATGGAGCATGGTCTTTTGTAATGCAAAGGGGCATTCGGTTTCTATTCTTGTGACAAATGATGGAGATTAACCATACTTGGCCCCCGTATTGTTAATCTTCACTGTCTGTTATGGGAGTGGACCATCGATTGCCCTTTAGGGAATGGCGTGCCATATCCCAATTCACCTTACTCCTTGGGATTATGGCATACTCTATTCTTTTTCATATTCATATTCGTCCAAAGTATACCACAATCGAGTGGAGTATGGTACGTATCCAAAGGGGATTCCACCTCATGGACAGTGGCAATTTTCACCGTACCTGTGTGGATGGCTAGTGAGCTCAACATTGTTAATCTCCACAGGCATCATCAAGAATAACGGTGGATGCCCCTTTAGAGTACAATGAACCATAATCCGCTGGTTATTGTGCAGTTTATCCTAGTCTTTTTCTTGCGAGAAGATGTGGCTATGGCCTTGAGTATTGTGGCTGAGTTAGGGGCTACGATGTTGTGTTTACAGCAATGTGAAGTGATAAAAATTCATACAAACTTCCGTGTCATGGACTACCATGGAGCCAAGGGAATTGATGAGTGGAACAAGCAATGTTGGGATAGAGAAATTAACAGTCAAGAGGTTGTTATCTTCTCCATTTCCCCATGCCATATTCATGTGCTGATTGTTTTATGTTTGATTTGGGTGGTGAATCTCCTTGGTGGGACTAGAAAGCTCCTATTTTACAAGTACTGGTGAAACTCAATTTGTACTTGATGAGAGCAGTGATATTTATTTACCTGATTTGGTGCTGTTAGTTAATTCTGCAAATACTCTTTTGATGTTTGATATTGTGTACTCAAGTAATATTTGGTATCATCATCATCATCGTTAGAACCTTACCCCAACTATTTGGGGTCAGCAATATGTGATATCCTGCAATAGTTAGGAATGATCAAGGACTGTGTTATATTATTAGTTAGAAGTAATATACTACAGCTGTTAATGTAGTCCGAAATCCATTTGCATGACTGAACTGAGGATGGCCCAAAAAAGGCCTATATAACTATTTTATCTACAAACAGAAATGAACATGCAGCAGACACATAATTGTTAACATCTGGAGTGGCTCTGAACCTAAGTGGAAATGATCCCTTTTTTGATTGGTAGTTGGACTGGACATAGTAAAATTTTTAAAGAATAAAATAACTAGGGCCATATTACAGCTTCAACTCGTTCATATGAGACTAGAAGTCTTAGCTATGCCTATATAAATCTGTGAAAAAAGAGCTTAAAAATCAAATAAATTGTTTATTTTATTTATTGATTTGCTAAGTTCTAAAAATACTCTGAATGTGTTCAGTCCAGTGTTTAAAAAAACGCTGAGTCGAACCGGACTCGCCCGGTTCGACTCGGGAATCGCCATGGACGGATCGAATCGGCGAAAAAAACGGGAATCGTCCGGTTCTAGAGAGAATCGGACGATTCTGTACAGTGACTCGCCGATTCACTGTACGGAATCGGCGTGTCGTACAGTGAATCGGCGAGTCCCGTACGGAACTTCTTTTTTTTTTTTTTTTAATCC